ACACAATTGAGCTTCATCAAAGCCTCATGTCACCATGGCTGTATGAATGTAGGCTATGAATATTATATGCATTGAATGTGATACAGTGACCTGAATGCTTTTCAGTTTTTATTGAATTTATTTTGATTAAAATGCAGCTGTAGCAGTGGGAAAATGCCACTCTGCTCAGTTCTCGCTTTTGAGAGAATGGGTTCTAATAAGTCTTTGAATTTAATGTTTAACAAGATGTGGCAACCTTAAAAGAAGCAATAAGTAAGACATTTACTGTAAAATTAGTCTGAATTGTTCTCATTTGTCACCCGGGTTGCAAGAACGTTATAAACAATCACTCCTCTCATCAATTTCTTAGTCAAGTTTTTCTCCTTTCATTCTTGGAGGTACAGAGCAGAACTACATCATTAGATTTGTTGCCCATATATCATGGCGCATCCCCCATGTTGGATCAAAGAATGATCGGTATTAAAGTTGCTTCAACAACATATTGAGCAAAGGCTGTGAATTTGAGAATCGTTCTCATTTCTGGAATCAGGAGTCATTTTGTTCAAGCAACTGTAATGAATTTAGTTCCTTTTAAACATCAAACAGAATCCTCCGGTCTAACCTCAGGTCAAATGTCTTCCTTTCCCTCAGCGTTTCATCATGTTACTGACTGAGCATCTGGTTCGCTGTGAGACAGGCAGCGTCGACATCAGCACACCCTGGTATAAAAACTGCATCGAGCGGCTGCAGCAGGTCTTCCTCATGGTAAGCATCACTCATATCTGCACACTTTCTAACCAGCTGTTACTGGATTTATTTTTGCTGATATTTGTGGTTTATGCAACCTTTTCCATAAAGGGATTTATAAAATCAACATGTCTGACTGGGGCACCAGGTTTGGTGGTTAAGGTTTGGGATTATGCTCGTTAGATGCAGAGATTACTAATTTCACAAGGGAAAATTGAAAGTCTTACCTCGCACTCATTGCATTCGTCCCTTTGATTTTTAGGATTTGAGTATAGAGTTCCATGATCATTTAAATCTGTCCTGTTGAGGACAATCTAGATTTAGAATGACTTATTGGGTTTTTGGATGTAAATGCATGTTGTTTTTTTTCATAGCACCATGGGACCATCCAGCAGTACATGGGAACTCTGGAGAACCTGCTGTTCACCGCTGAGCTCGACCACCACATCCTGGCTGTCTACCAGCAGTTCTGCGCCCTGCAGCTCTGAGATGAAACTCAACGATCTGATGAAATTCTTGTTCACACATTATTGAAGAAAGTGACTGGTTAAGAACTACCAGCTCTTGCATCAAGATTTATTTTTTATTTTACTGTTTTGTGATCAGTGCCATTGTGGTCAGTCACATGCAGCCCTAACTGAGTACTTCTCAGATTAAGAATCAAGCAGGACTCTTTCATTAGTTTATACATGGTTCTTTTTATTTTCTTGTTTTTCATGCTTTTCGTTTAGTTGTTCTTTTACCTCCTGCTCATGTTCTTATGATGGATATTTTTTAAAGCAAATGAAATGTATAAGTCCTGGAGAAACATTCATAGGAGAGGGAACCGAATCCAGATAATGCTCTACTTTTTTATATTTGTTTTATGTGGAATTAGGAAGTAAATAAAACTCTCCAAAATCTGTATCTGTCTGCTGCTTGTTTTCTCCTTAATGCTGCTGGAAATAGGATTAAAACTCAAACTTGAGTTTTCTTTTCTAAAGTTTCTTTCTGCGTCAAGAAACTTCTCGAATTTCCAAAGTACAATTTTCAGAATGGGAATTGATATGTGGGATTTTCTGAAGCCTAGCAATGACACCAATGAACAACAATCTTTTAAATGATTGACTGACTGTTATCACTGATATTAAGTTCTGTTAAATACCTGTTAAAGAAGTCCGTAATGCTCCAGAAGTGAGGATGAATAAGGTCGTTAATGGATTGTGAGGTGAACCAGTAGCGCTCATAAAGAGAACTTTCTGAATATAAAAGATGTCTGATGACCCTCTCCTGAGGAATATTTAATACTCTGCAAATTAATGACACTCTTTAATTGGATCTTCATCCAAAGGACATACATTGTTTGTATATTTATCACCTAATGTGTCCAAAGACCTATTGATTTTTTTTAGTTTTTTTCTGCAGAACTACCACAGAACTCTCCTCACTGAATCAGGAAATGAAATGACTTGATTGACTTAATTAACAAAACTTGCTCTTGACCAGGTTAGCTCTGGGGAGAATGTTACTATGGTAACAGGTTGTTCAGAAAGAAAACTCAGTTTCCTGCATTACACTGTAACAAACTGAGTTTGACAATTATTGTGTAATAGAAGTTGTCCTTATATGTGCTCTGAATTGCTGTGAGACCCAATGAGGTGCTTCAAATTGAGTGCAACTTGCAAAAAAAATCCTTGAAACCCTATTGTTTGCCATCATGTAAAGAACATTGAAGTTGATAAGCTAATTCAGATTTGATTTAATCACGCAGTTAATTCAACAGAGATTCCATTATCTTCAGGGTTGCATGCAACATATTTGGGTTTCTGTCAGTTTATCGTTCCATGGCAAACTTCAAAAATATATTTTGATTTTATTAAGGTTAACTCTCTGGAGAGCTTTGGAACAGGAGTTGGAGAAGTGTTTTCACTGGAAGTCCTCATTCCCACTGAAAACACAAATTTGTTTGTACAATGACTGCTGTGGCAGAATGTGCGGTGGGTTTATCAGCTTTATATCTTATTAATTTGATGTTTATCACTCAAATAATTACTATTAAAATTCAGTGTAAAGAAAAATGTATTTCCAACCAATAAAAAGGATATTCTATCCATAAATTCCATGTCTTGTCCAACACAGTTGTTACCGTAGGTTTCTGATAGAAGGTAACACTGCAGGATTGGTAACCAACAAAAGGTCATTTTTATAAAAGCTAGGATTTTGTGGTGTAGTGCTTTTAAGCATATTATTGAAAAGCTGAGTCGAATTAAAGTGATGCACCCCATAGCGTACCACAGCATTGTTGACAAGCTTGTTGAGTAAAATGCATGCAAGAACTTGACAAGATGTGGACGAACAGTCGTGCGATTGGTCAGGATTGGATGAGAATGGAAGTGGAGATGATTTTTCTCTTTTTCTTTCAGGTATAGAAATTTGATCAATGATTGTTATGTAGCAAATGGTTTGAGGATCGGTTGATAGAGGCAGTGACTCAGTATGCCTATTTATTGGTCAACTCTTTTAATATAAAGCCTCTTGCCGTCCTCATCAGTCCAAAAAATCCACCCTCTGCCCTGGTGGTGCTGTTAGGTTTTCTTTTGAGGGGATCAGATGGAACCTTTTATGGGTTCAACAGCTGAGATTGTCTTCAAGCATGAATACTTTGATATAAAACAAACCTTTTTTATTATTGCCACCTTGAGAACCAGACAACATTTCCCGGTTCTTGTGGGATATAGTGCTTAAAGCTGAAGTCAGCACAACAATCACAACTCAAAGATGAATCCTCGAAGTGGGCTACAAATGTCTGATTTCATGTGTCTAAAAAGTCCTGAACCACAGAGGCATGTTAACTGGCCTAATAGAAAAAGAAACACAAGTACTCTGTTGTTCAGTGGTTCAAAGTTCTTCCTTCATTGAATATAAGTTTATGTTGAAATCATTATTTTGAGGAACCTTTAGATCAATCATGGTGATGTTTATTATCACTATATACTTATACTCTATACTATATATACTGTAGACTGTTTAATACCCTGTGCAATAACTATATATATATATATATATATATATACACACATACACACACCTGAGAATATAAATACCTATTTAGATGAATACCTATTTAATACCCAGTTCAATAACTATTTAATACAATTCATTAAATATATATAGCACCAATTCACAACACATCATCTCCAAGCACTTTACAATTCAACCAGATCATATAGTAAATATATATAAATACCTATTTATATAAATTCCTATTTAACACCCTGTGAAATAGCACTGTGCAATAATCCAGGTAAATAAGAGGCTTCAGCTGTCCCCAAACTGCAGAAGTGTTTACAGCAGTGTGGGTGTGTGGATGCAGTGTATATACTCTAAATACTCCATGAACCTTATCCTCCTTTTGGCACCTTCTTTAGACTATTGAGCCGATGTGACAAGTCCATTTCTCCACTGTGGGATCATTAAAGTCTATCTTATCTCATCTTAATTAAAAACCCTAACTTTAAATTGTGAAATTTGTCTTTTTGATACCTTTACTGCATTTAGTACCTTTGATATAGTTAAGAAATTTTATCCAAAAACAAACAAAAAAAATCCTGGAATCTTTTTTGACTCTCACATTTAAATTGGAAACCTACAGAGGAGGATTCTGAGAAAAAAGTCTCAGAATTCTGAGATTAATTTCAGAATTTTGAGATTAAATTCAGAATTCTGAGCATTAGACTGAAACAATATTTAAAAATCAGTTAACTTTTTAAAACTTTTTTCAGTGGTCCTAATCCTCTTCAGTAGAAATCAGTCTATCCCCTTAAGACCAGTCTGAATTAATTTCCTTTTAGGTGCAACTTCAGTAATGTCCACCAGAGGTCAGTATGGTAATAGTAAAACATGGCAGGCTGTTGTCACATGGTTGTTGAAGTAGATCGTCAGTACTGCATAAGTTACTGACTCAAGCAGACAAATCAAAAGACTTGGTTAGAAACATGAGTAACTTGTCAAACATTAACTTATTTTAATGGAAACACATGGCTGCATTAGCAAAATTACCCCACTTGGAGGGGAAAAAAACAAGAAGAGCAAAGTCTTTTGTTTTTTTAGGATAAAAATGGAGGCTAGAGCAGGCAACAAGTCTGTACCTTACATTGTTGTTTTTCCAGCTAAAGATGAAAGGACAGAGCTTCTACAGGAGATGCTTTTTCCTTCCTTCAGCTGTGTTATCGTTTATGATCAATATCAAACAGACACACCGCAGAAGTCAAACACAAGTGAGCCCAAATCTCTTTCAAGTACCAACAATCTTGCCCCGGTTCTAAAACAATACACCAACTGTATCTGTCTGTGTGTTTGCCAAGAGCAAGGAAGTCAGGAAGTATTGGCCAAACATAGCTGTTCTGTAAATAGATAGGACTTAATGCCTGCCCCACACACAGACACACACACAATGCAGACACAAAACACAAGCAGCTGCAAACAGATGGAGGCAGTTGTGTTGTGTTCACATGCACAGGCAAGCACCTACCCCCCAAAAAAAATTAAAAACAAAAAAACACAAATGAAGTCATTCTTGCAAGCAAATGTGTATATATTCACTCAAATTCAAATAAAAACATGGGAGGCAAACAGATACTCCCTTACAGAGTTTAACACCCAGAAGTCAGCTCACACATGATGGGAGGCTTAGATGCCCCCCAATGGTGCTTTAATAAACTACAACTACAGAAATAAAGAAGTAAAGCTTTTAGTAGAGTGAATTTGGTAAGATCTTTGTACTGCTGCAAGCAAAGGCTGTTAATCCAGATAAGTGACCAAGGTCAGGTATATCATTTCATCCTCAGGATTCTGATGATGCTATACATTAAGCTTTTGTTTCTTTATCCATTTTTATCAACCTTTAAAGCTCCTGTCGCAAGGTACATAACAGAGGGCCCCGTTGGAATCTGATATAGGCAAATTAAATGTTTTAGGTAAAAGACCATGTAAAAATACTTTCTTCAATGGAAGGCCAAAGATTTCCAATGTGCTTATCCCAACACATTATGACAGATGGTAAAATTGGGAGCATAAATTTATAGATAAAACTTCACAAATACTGTAGAATGGGAGAATAGAGATAGAATGAAACAGAATGATGTGTGGTCCTTGTGTCCTCCAGCAGTCGAAGCCTATAGCAGTGTAAATATAGAAAATAGCTAAGGATGAACTATCTAATTTGCATGAGGTATGAGAAAAACAAGATCCAAGGTTTAATTCTAAGATTTTTTTCTTTTTACTTTCATTTGTGAACAGTGGACTTGTCATTGTTTATAATTGTTTATTGCAGGTTGGATTTGTCCTGTTTTCTAGATGATCCAAACCAAACAGAGATGGATGTACACAAAGCAGATTAAACAACGGCAGTGTGGAAGATAACCTGCAGCTTATGTGGAAGGTTTGTTTTCCACATTAAGTTTGCTGGGCCTCATTCCAAACACTAGAACTGGACACGCTCCACAGTCGAATTCCTGTCCGCAGATTTATTTGTCCTGGACTAGCTGGACCAAAGGTGGCAGTGTCATCTGCAAACAATCCAGTGTTTCACGTTCTGGATATGTTAGTGCACTTCTTTATAAACGGTGAGAAGAGCAATCATCTTTGGGTCAATGCTGCCTATTGAACACAAATTACCAGCACCCTAAACGGACATCCTCAAATTAATTTTTACGAGACTTCAACCTTTGACTTCCTGATAAGTTCCTTAAAAGTTATCCACAGTTTGACATGTGGATCATCTGGACTGGAAAGATTCTGGACAAATGCTTTGGCTCTGTCCCAGTTGCACACAAATAACCTCCCACCCCAGCTATGCTGATGATCCTTTAATTCATGTTGCCTGTCATCAAGAGGATAAACAAGATTGTTAAA